GCAGTGCGTTGGAGGGGGGCTCAGCCTGGGGTGGAGCCTGGGGGGTAAACATTGGAATGGGGTGCCCCACACACCACTGGGCTGGGGTGGGATGGCAGCACCCAGAGGATGAGCATGGCCAGTTGCTGCCCAACATGGGGATGTGGATAGGGAGGGCCCCCAGCTCCCACCAGCTGTCACAGCAAGTCCCCAGACACCCTCTGGGGCGGGTGGGGAGGTGGTTTCCTCAAAGGCTCCCCAGGGAGCTGCCCACCAGGCTCAGCCCCAGCCCAGAGCCCTGCCCTGGCCCTGCCTTTCTCCAGAGCTGCCACGCTGGCATCACCCCACAGCAATGCCCTGCCCCGGGGCACAGGGTGGGTGACTGCAACCCATGAGCCTGCATCCCAATACAGCTGTGCTGCAGGGCTCGTGGCTCTGCAGGGGGCCAACCCCTCTGCCCAGAGATCTCGGTGCTGCCTGCACCAGGCCTGAGCCTCACCTTCCCTCCCAGCCAGCAGCAGCTGAGGCCAGGGGCGTGTGCTGGCTCTGAGGGATGGGGAGCCTGCCCAGCCGGGAGAAGCCACTCAGCATCCCACCAGCAGCTGCAGACACCATGCAGTCCCCGCTGCCCATGCAGGCAGGTAAGCACCTGGCAGCTGCCAGCTTGGCCAGCATCCCCTGGTGTGCATGGTCCTCTCGCCCCAGCTGGGGCTGGGTGGTGCCGGGGGAGCTCTGAGCCCCCTCACCTTCCCCGCAGTCCCCAGGAGCTTCCTGGCCCTGGCCCTCTGTGACTTCCCCTCCAGCGCTGGGGCGGCCACTGTCCTGAGGATGGGGGAGCAGCTCCGTGTCCTCTCCGAGTAAGTCCCCGCACCGAGCAGGCACTCCCAACCAGTGTGCAGCCCACGGGGCCATGATGGTGGCACCCATCCTGGGGGGGGGGTCCCCTCCCTGCGCCCAGCAGCCTCAGCCCCTCAGGATGGCTCATCTCCCTTCCCTGCAGGGACAGGGAGTGGTGGCTTGTGGCATCTGAGGTGTCTGGCAAGGAGTGCCATGTCCCCAGCAGCTGTGTGGCCAAGGTCAGGCACAGGTAAATGCTGGAAAGGGTCCATCCCAGGGTGGGCCCCAGGGGATGTGGCCCCACCACAGAGAGCCTGGTCAACGCCAAGGCCAAACTCTGGCCACTGCACCGGGACGTCCTGCCCCATTTCTCTCCCTGGGCCACGGAGCAGCGCTGGGGCTTGGGGAGGCAGCACAGCATGCTGGGGTGTCCCCAGGACATGCGCTGCTGCACCCCGAGCTGTCCCCTCCACCCTGGCTGGAGCAGGACAGGCCCTGGGGCGCTGGGTGTCCCTGCACAGCCAGGAGAGGCTCTGCCAGTGCCTGCTGCCTGCACAGGTGGCTGTATGAGGGTGTCAGCCGGCAGAAGGCGGAGGAGCTGCTGCTCTGGCCAGGCAACCGCAGTGGGTCCTTCCTGATACGGGAAAGCCAGACTAGGCAAGGTGAGAGCCCTCGGGCCCTGTCTCCTGTACCCCTTCCCAGCTGTCCCCACTGGGGTGCCAAGGGCATGAGTGGGGCCCCAGTCGAGCTGATCCTCCATCACTCGCACCTGGTGGCAACAGCCTGCCCTACGCAGTGGTTTACTGGCACCGCTGCTCCCCGCTTCGTGCTGAGCCTCTGCCACGGGGCCTCAAAAGAAAAAACCACCAGCAGGCTTCCTGCAGCTTTTGGTTAAGCAGAGAAGTGAAAAGGCTCAGCCTCTGAAGTGAAATGGGGCCCCCATCACAACAAGGTGCCGAGGGGACCCTGCAGGGAGATCCTGCCGGGTGCCCCACTGCACACAGCTGATGCACTGGCACGATGCTGCATGGCCCCACGGCTGCCTGGGCACCAAGGGGGCCGTGGGGCTGGGAGCCGTGGGGCTGAGGATGGCCCATCCCTGTGCAGCACTCGAAAGCAGAAGACTCGGACACAGAGCCACAGCACCTGATGCTGAGGGCACGTGGGACACAGCAGGCAGCTGGCCGAGGTCATCCCATGTCCCAGCACTCCCACATGCCCCAGTCTGGAGGTGCTCATGGTGTGGGGCTGGCACAGGGATGCTCACAGCCACACAGCCCCATGGGGAGAAGGATGCTGCCGGCCACCCCTGTGGGGCAATAAAATCCACGATATGGGAGAGCGCAGGGCAGTGGGGCCGAGCGGGGTAAGTGCCCACAGCAGCCCGGCCACGTGCCTCTCGCCCCAGCAGGCTGCTACTCGCTGTCAGTGCGCCACAGCGAGCATGCCTCCTGGGACTCAGTGACACACTACCGCATCCACCGCCTGGAGAATGGCTGGCTCTACATCTCACCCCGGCTCACTTTCCCCAGCCTGCACGACCTGGTGGACCACTACTCCGGTAACACCTTGCTAGCCCTCCAGCACCCCCAGTCTGTGTGTGTGGATGCCCTGCAGGGAGGGAGGAGGGAAAGGTGGTGGCTGGTCCCCCACCTGTCCAGGTGCACCCAGCATTGGGGTGCAGGTGGGGGGCACCCTGCTGACACTGCTGGCTCCCTGCCCAGAGTTTGGAGAGGGGCTGTGCTGCCCCCTCAGGGAGCCCTGTTCCATGGAAGGGGTGAGGGTGACCCCAGTCCCCGCAGTGCCCACTGTTGTGAAGAAGCCATCACTCAACTGGGACAAGATCGACAGGTAGGGACAGCTGGAGAAGGGGCTGGGGCTCCCCTCACCAGTCCTGCCAGACACTCAGGGGTCTGGGGGCTGCCTGCTGACTGCCCCATCTGCCCTCACGCAGCTCCCTCCTGTTCTCGGAGGCTGCATCCCCACCAGAGGAGGACTCTCCCATCAGCCTGGGCCTGCGGGAAGCCATCAGCTCCTACCTCCTCCTGACAGAGACAGCCGCCCCGGAGGAGGGCCCCACGGGGAAAGGGGCAAAGAGCAGCTGAGGGCAGGGCCCAACGTGGCCACAGCCCCACAGCAGATGCCTGGCCCTCATTAAACCATTCACCTGGTTTCAGCCACAATCGCTCATTGATGCCATGGGAGCCGGGCACCCGGGGCCCGTTGGCCTGGACACAGGACAGCTGAGACCAAGGTGCTGGACAAAGGGGCTGCCTGAGGGCCCATCCTCCCTAAAGCCAAGCGCTTTGGGATGCGGTGTTTGAGGACCCCGACCATCACCCAGCACCCATAGGAGGAGAAGGCAGAGACTGTACATAGAAGGAGCCCTGCCTGCCCCACAGGCTGCAACAGGGCCCCGCTGCCATCTGCGCTCCCACAGCAGCAGGGAAATGGGATGCAAATGCCCAACAAGCCGAAGCCTGGCCCAGGCGGGCGAACAGCCCGACCCCATCAGACCCCTCAAGGTCATGCACAAACTTTTTTGGGGTGGGGTGTCCATGCAGGACAGGGCCTGTGAGCAGCAGCTGTGGACCCTCATGCTCTCGCCCTCCCATAACTCACCCCTCTGCTTGTTGGGACCAGCAGAGCAGCAGCCGGGATGAAACCAGCCTCTTACTGCACCCAAAGTAGCTGATTTTTAAACCTTTTAACGCATGGAGTGTACTGGGTTTAAGGTCGATAAAACAGAATCCTGCTGGACATGCAGCAATAACCATTTATAATATATTAATTAAAGGGTGTGTCATTCACAGTTGAAGGTTTGTGAATAAATCGTGAACTGCCAACTGCAACCACGGGGCAGCCTGGGGGGTTTTGCTCCTGCCATGGCCATCGCCCCAGCCCTGCTGCCAGCTTTCCCCAACCTGGGGCAAGCCGACAGCCACGGGTCAGGTCCAGTCCTCAGCCAACTCGTTTAGGGCAAAATTAATGAGCCCTAGAGGTTTAAAAGTGTTTAACATCACAACTGCTGTTCTAGGAGCAATGAGGAAAGAAATGGGTCCATGCCAGGACTAGATGATCCAAAAAGGCAGAATGCAAATACCCATGTCCAACTGCGATCTAAGCTACACCTCTGGGCTAGAGGGGGCCTTAAAAGCAGCAGAAATGCCTCAGAACAGCAACATGCGCTCAACAGCCCCTTATCAGCAAAGCACAGCCTGGGGAAAGTGCCCAGAACTTCCTCTGCAGTGAGAACCGGTGCAGAAGCAATTTCGCTGCTTGGTGACATCCCTTCCTTCCGCTCCTCTGTGCCCAGAGGCTGGTAGAGCAGGACGCCCCATATCTGCAGGTTTCCTGCCTCTGACATGCTCGAATCTCCTCTTCATTTTCATGTCTGATGAGCTTGCTCTTGCAAACCCACCATCACTTTCTCATTTCCCTCCACACAGCAGCCCAGAGCTTTACACACCTGCTCAGCCGTCAGCCTCAAGCCCAGGTGTCTTTTCAGCACAGGACATAGGTCAGGGTTTATCCCTCAGCCTTGACCTTGCCCCGCAGCCAGCTGAGCCTGCTGCTGCCACCCCTGAGGGGCTTCCTTTGTTTTTGCCATTAACCCACATTGTGTGAACGAAGGCCGGCTCTTGGGCCTCCTCCTTCCACCTCCAACCTGGATTCAGGTTGTTAGATGCTTTTACACCACAGTGATGGTTCTACCTCAGACTGGAGGCAGCCACAGTCAAGAAACTGCTTCTTTGATACTTGTATCCTGGTGACCGGCAAGATGGGAAATACCTGCTCGGAAAGCCTATCTGAATCCTTCCCCAACACTGGCAGCCTCCGAGCCCTCCCCTCCTTCCCAGCCCCACGGCAGCTCTCTTCCCAGCCCCAAAAGCTCCTTTTTCTGTGCACACTTCACTCGTGCTGGGAAACATCTTCACAGGCCCCCAGAAGAGCAGGGCGGTGGCACCCCGGGCAGCAGCGGCTGCTGCTGGGGGGATCCCAGGGCACCCAGCCTGGGGTGCTGGCATCCCCGCTCCCTGCCTCCCACTGCTAAACACTGCAGCCCCAGTTAACATCACAGGCACAAAGCCAGATGAGAAACCAGGTTTTTAACAGCTGGAAGAGGCAGAGAGCAGGTCCCAACGTCTCCTCCCAGCAGCAGCCCTTGCCCCAGACAGGGAAGGGCAGAGTGGAGAGGCAGGGGCAGCAGGGCTGCCGCCCTGGGCAGCGCAGGACTGGAACGCCGAAGGCTGTGAAGGGACAGAACAAGCCCTGAGGAGACCCACCGGTGCCAGGGCAGCAGAGGACCTGCCAGCTGCCTCAGCCACCCAAGGGTGGGCGGCCGTGGAGACCAAGCAGGGACAGGGGCTGCCGCCTGTCCTCACCAGAGGTGCTCCGAATGCCCAAGACACTCGGAAGAGGAGCTTCTTGGGTGCTCTCTGCTGTGTGTCAGGGGCACACTGAGCTTGCAGAGCTGTGGCCACTTTGGCCAGATCAGCCATACTGTGGACAGCACTGACCTCCTGTGAGAGCTTTGTCACCGACTTCCTCTGAAGTGACAAGTACTTCGTGACATCCAGATGTGCAACCTTGCCATACAAGCCTATGCTCTGCCCCCTCACCCACCTGAAACCAAACTGTTTGAGCATCTCTTTCACAAGAGCAGCCACCAAGCATTTTCTGGGATCAAAGGGACTTCTGAAGGCATTTGGAGGAGCTGCAAAATAGCCAAAGTATCTCCAGTAGCTTTGGACCACTATTCAGAGGACACAGCCATTTGTAGAGCCTAGATTCAGTGTGGCACTCAGCAAACCAGTACTCCAATTGACACACGAGGGTACGGAAACCCACCACTTCACAAGCGGGTCCTTCCCTTGGTGTCCCTTGCAAGGGTATGTATTCAATCCGCATAACTTAAAACCACCAGTCTGAAAGCTCAGGAGGTGCACACAACTCCTCCTCTCCTCCTGAGCCCAAGGCACCCAGCATCCCTAAACCATGGGAAACAGGGCCCACGCCATCCTTAAAAACTTGGTGTGGAGTGTTAACCAACAAGACTCTGTGCCATCATTCAGCCTTTTCTGACCAAACATCCCTATGGCACAACAAGCACCACCAGCAGAAACACCCTACAGGCAGAATATGAACTGCAGCTTTTTTGTTGTTTTGTTCTCAGTTTTGCTGTCTACATGTATGTTCTAATAAGAAAAAACCATAGTATTTTCTGTTTTTAACTACTTGCCTATTTGAACATGGGCTTTTTTTTGGTTAGCTGTGGCAGGTATCAACCAGACAAGAGCTGTAAGTAGTTTTTTCTCTTCACAAGAGAGTTGCTATGCAAATACTGAAGGATTAGTACGAAGATATGAAATACTCTTCTAAACAACTGCAATAGCTTGATGTGCTCAACACCACCACTGGAAAAAACAGACCAAGTATCAGTCACGAATGCATTCGCAATCTGATGAAATGACAGTGCTGCTGCAGCAGGGATGATACTCTAGCATCAAACTGAGCATGAACAAGATCCACGGTCTGGACCATGATCAACAGTAGATCATGTAATTAGAAGAGATATTTTGGTCAAAGACAGTAAGAATATTAAAATACAGTTGTGTCAGATTTCTTAGGCTGGGGAACTTCAAGGTGAATCTACCCACATGAAGGCTGACAGATTGACTCAGCCTAGTGCCTCCTAGCACGAGAGTCTGCCCCTACAAGAATCTTAAGATCAAGCAAGTAAAATAGGGAGCTTGGACAAGCTCAAATCAGGGGGGACACATTCCCAGAAACGTGGCTAGCCACAGCACACATTTCAGTAAGTTACTTCAAATTCAGATCACATCTTCAAAACCTGATTTTGACATTTAAGTGATCAGCAAAACCTACACAATTTGACTGAACCATGAAACACACACCTGGATGCGTGTGTGGTGGCACATCTTCTGCCATCAGTGGCAGAAGTTTCTCCAGGCTTCACAAGCTGGGCTCTAGCAGAGTGATGCACCCTCTGACCTTAAAATCCAGGAGTTTTACAGGAATCTTGTTTTGAGAACAAAATTAGGAAGGGCAATTTGTTAGGACAAGGGAATAAACTTGTTTTCCTCCTACTGAGGAAATTGAGGGGGGAAGCGATGGAACCAGAAATGCATCTGAAGTCACGTCGATGCCTGCCCCCACCCTCAGACACACCCTGTGCCAGGTACTTTCCTCTCCAGCACTCCCCTTCCCATGCCTGTGCGTTTTCTCTGTATGGATTGTTAAATACATCAGAAGCTCCTTCCTTTGCATTAATGCTAAAGCAGCACTTCCTCACACAGTAAACATGCAGCTTCTACACCAACCTTGCTGCTGCTGCCCAGAAGGGACAGCAGCTGAATAAACTTGTTTTCCTCCTACTGAGGAAATTGAGGGGGGAAGCGATGGAACCAGAAATGCATCTGAAGTCACGTCGATGCCTGCCCCCACCCTCAGACACACCCTGTGCCAGGTACTTTCCTCTCCAGCACTCCCCTTCCCATGCCTGTGCGTTTTCTCTGTATGGATTGTTAAATACATCAGAAGCTCCTTCCTTTGCATTAATGCTAAAGCAGCACTTCCTCACACAGTAAACATGCAGCTTCTACACCAACCTTGCTGCTGCTGCTGCCCAGAAGTATGACAGCAGCTTTCAGAATGTCACAGGCGCAGCACCCACATTCCCTTCCAGCACAAGCCTCCCAAACCTACCTGAAACTCAACTGCTAGCCCACTGCTACATGGGCAGAACGCATTTCCACCTGAAAATTGTAGAGAAATTACATATTTTTCTCTATGCAGTTTGCACTGTGCAGCTGACAGCACTTGCCCTAATTCACCTGGTTTTGGGAACTGTTCAGGGAAGCTACACCTTCAGGTCTCTGCATGCTTGGAACGAGCATCCTGGCTTCACACTTGTCTCCCGGCGCAGAAGTCTCGTACACACACTTCCAGATGGTACACTGCTGCGCTGTTCTGGTTAGAGCAGCTTCCTACCCACAACACTCAAGTCTTTGCGAAATGAATCATCAGAGGGATGAGCCAGCTGCCTCTCTCTCATCGACACTGCCAAGTGCTCAGCAGCAGCCCTGGTAGGCTACTCGTTGAAATAGGAACAAAAATTAGGGTCAGATTACATCTACTAGGATTTGGGAATAAAATGTACAACCTCCTCGCTAAAACAATACCCGACATGAAACAATACATAACAGTTTACCTATTAAGAATATTTATATGAGACAGATCTGGAAAACAATCATTTCCATACTTTAGGAACAGTTAAGATCTGTATTGCTGTCAAACTACAGTACCTGCATTTCAATACCATGTGAAGAAAGAAAGTCCAATATTATTTTATTGAATAATCATTAATTGAAACAAAGACTTTACTAAGACTTAACCAACAAAAACCTATTTATTTATTCCAAACACCAAGATACAGAAGTTTTCAAGTTTTGCAAATATTGCTCCAAAGCAAAATTCTATATACAGCGCCCTCAGTTCTAATAGTGCATAAACAAAGACAAATATACTTATGTATCCACAGTGCAATGTTTGCTCATTTCATCAAGGCTCCACTTTGCATTCACTTACCAGTGATTTAAAGAAATAAAGAAAGTGACCTGCCAGACCGAACAGTTGGTCCAGACTAAGAAATAACAATGTGGAAACTTGCAAAAACAGGGACAAAAATGAATCCAGGCAGAGCACAATAAAGAATCTTTCCTGAACATGAGAAATGCTACTCTATTTTAAATAAATATTTTCAGTCTTTATCTGCAAGGGCTTCCCTAGCTCTACTAAAGGAAAACAAGTCTCCAGTATTTGCCATTTGATTCACCCATCAGAACTGCCTTTTCTTCCAAATCTTAAGTACTGCCCTGAGCAAAAATAAACTGGCAAAGTAAGAATGTACAATGAACACACAAAAAGCAACTGCTTGGGAAGGAGAAGTTCCACGCTGGAGTGAAAAGTCTGCTCAGGAATTTACCTGCTTTCACACCCTCAAACTGTAAGCACAGCTGACTTGTTAACAACGCTGCTACGTTCTTCAAGAGACGCCCCGTCGGAGTGCTTGCTTTACAGATTTCAACCAGGGAACACCTTTCTGGTCGATCTCACCTGAAAAAACCCAAAAACCTTCACAGTTGTCCGGGGTGCTCCTTCTAATGCTGTTCCGGTTGTCTGGTTGCTGCCGCCTGTTCTAGAGCTACACAGTATACATGAACTCAGGTGTCATTAACAGGAATGAGACAAGGTATAAGCATTGGTCTCATCTTCAGAGAGCGAAGTCATTCTTAAATATCATGTAAGCTTTATTCCAATTGTGTTACAGAAAAATAAGTTTATTTTTCTGCTGTACATATGTTGTATTCACTATATACCAACTAGTACTATAAAACTGTGAGACAAATTATTCCCTGAAATGAGTCTTGGCACAAAAGCCTTAGTTACTACCTAGAGTAGCCTAATTATTTTGTTTTCTGAAGGAAATAAAATATTTACTGTGTAGATACCATTAACTCCTACAATAATATTGGATATTTCAAGTTTACATTATTCTTTGCACTATACAAACATTACAGATTCATATCCAAAATTAGTAATTTGTACAGTTACGGGCCTTTCAATTACAACTGTGCTTAAATTCTACCCTTTGGTGGTACCATCACACACAATAAAATCAAGGTAACAAATCCAGCTTTTTAAGGACACCCTCTCACTGCAAAAACAGCTTAACCATTTTCCACAGTGAACTTAACTCAGCAACGTTTGGGAAGGAAAACTAAAGTCACAGCCATTATTTATGGAGCTATGATCTGCAGCTGAAAGACTTTTAACATCTCAAATACTTACAATACACCAACATTTCAAAAGGTACTGTATGTGACTTGAACATAAGCAGCATTTTCACCTTGCTCTCAAAGTAATACAAACCAGAAAATTAAAACTTAAGGTATAAAAAGGGACTTTGTGAACATACACCATTTAAGATAATAACCCACTCACTGTCTGCGAGGACAGTACCTCATGCATAGATCTTGAGGCTTTATTTACACAAATATAAAATAAACTGATTCCCAAAACCACACATTCAGAAAGTAAGTCTTTACAATGAACACGTTCAGAGTATTGAAAAAAGTCTACATTTCAAAATATAACCGGAATGGCAATTATTAACAAACGGGTAGAAAACTACGTAACGTCCATTACAGACCTTGTTGAAGTCTGGAACTTCGAGGGCATCTCCAGTCTTTCCACAGCGGTATTTCATACTGCCGCAACAAGGGTGTCCCACTAGCACTGCTTCAGGAGGCACAGTATGGCCATATTTAAGAGCTCAAGAACGCACATAAACACAACGTTCATGGGTTTCCCCAGTACCAAGTCATGTGATAGTGACAGGATAAATATGGAAAACAATCATTTATTCTGAAAATAAGTGCAATCCACCTGTGACCTTCTGCTACATTATTTAACGTAATAGAAGTGGGGTTTAGGCCACTGTTACTTGCAAACCTCCACATAACAGATATAGTTAAGAGCTGGACATTCATACTTACTAAGTCTGAAAACTGTTATAACATTTCCTAATGATTAAATACTGTGTGCTATTATGCATAAATCAGAAGGAATAAAACATGACACAAGTCACTTAAACTATGCAAAGTTATTTACAACTTCTGTCAACTAAACATTTTTGGCTCTTAGAACTCTGTTCTTCAGTGGCACAATTTTTAGTCAATTTAATTATTTTCAGTCTACCGTTTCAATGAGCAACTTGTAAGGAGTGAAAATTTAAGTATAATTTATCAACCAACACCCAACCTCTGAAGACAACAGTATGACCTCTTCCATATCGTTTTAATTGCCTAATAAACGTGAAATTATGATAAAATAACCTTTTTGCTGTTCTTTGAACAGCACTTCTTCACAAATCCCTGAAGTCAATCTGCACCACATGCAACCAGCATGCTAATTTAATTTAAATATACAGAGCTGTTCACATCAGATGCTCCAACTTCGCACTCAATAACAGTCTCCAACATTTTCTAGTCTCACGTTGAGCAGCAAAGTGCAATCTGTTGCACTTTGCCTAGGTCCGTTATAAGCTGCTTTATACAATGTTTGAGTTGTGGGAGTCGAGCTAGCGGTTCTGGTGGTTCCAGCTCTCCTGTATAATCCAGCCAACTCTCCAAAACTGCGAAGAAAAACAAAACTGTCAACTATTCCAGTTCTCAACAAATAGACCACCTTAAGTCACAAAACAGGAATTCTTTAAATCTTTTGTGAACCTTGAGAGCGCGGTGGGCAGTACTTTTAACACGTGGTATTTGAGAAATCAGAAAACCAGGCTCCTCACACCAATCTTTGCAGAAAAAAACCCCAGATGTTCCTAGGAGAAAGCAGGGAGGAAAACTTAGGACTAGATATTGTGAAGTCTGGTGCTAAACTTCCTCTGATCTGTATCAATTCCAGAGCAAGGACACTGCGGTACAGAAAGATATTCTGACGGTATAAACTTCAAGATCAGCATTAGATGCAAATATACAGTATTTTCATTGAAGATCCTAAAAGGACAGGACTATGCTAATGAAAAGAAGTTTGTCGTCAATACAGAATACAATTGGCCAAGACAGAAAGAACTGGGTAACAGAAAATGGGGATGAAATCCAAAAGCACAAACAGCAGACTACTGCACAAAGAAAACGAATTCCTGCTCTAAAGCTTCTCAGCAGGAAACAAGAACCAGACATACTACTGACCAAAGACAACTCAGGTGACAATGTAATACGACCACGAGAAGGGTGGTCACATTGAACTACGATGAGTTCAGGGGACGGGACAGATCACGGAAGGAGGCTGAAACCTTGAAGACAGAATACATCTGCCAAGAGAAGCAGCAGTGGCCATTGCCACTAACTAGATTACAGGCTAGTTTAACCTAAGGGCAGTATCTGCTGAGAACTAGTGGGCATTACCCAACTATTGACACATCCAGCCATGAAATAAGAAAATTCCTGATCAGAGTAGCAATGCTCTCAGCAGCCCTCCAGCTCTGCAGCAGATACAAAGAGCCTGACTTCTGTGAACTAGAGCTTCTTCATTTATGAAATAGGCATTATGATTACAGGCCTGATTGATCTTCATCACCTGAAATATTCCTTTAGTTGTTCAACTTTTCAGTACCTTACTGAACCAAAGAGAGGACTCTTACTGCGGCAAAGGTTAGATTCCCAATACCCTTGCAAGAAAAGCTGCTGCTGTAACCACTACACAACCAATGGTCAGACTTAAAGATGTTAAGAAAAAGAACTATCTTGGATTGTTTAATGTAACACATAAAGCGTTTAGAAGTTTTCCATTACTAGGAAAACAAATTTCAAGAGACATTTAAGAATTTGGAAGAGACAGGAAAAGATAAGAGCCTTGTGCACCAAAGAGGCCACCTAGAATAGACTGAAACAGCCAGCAAGTCCCTGAAGAACAGGGAAGTTCAGATACACAGAAGCGCTATGGAAAATGACAAAAACCTGAAAGCAAAAAGACATGGAAGATATTCTACTACATCATCTGATGCAAGTATTTAGAGGTGATCTAACTAGAACTTTTTCTATAAAATTCTGCTCAGTTTTAATTTGTTTTTAAAATCCACCCCGACATCAGCAGCATGTCTATTTTCTATTAATAAATGCAGAAAATCTGACAAAGCAACACTCATCTCTCTGTAGGTCTGCAGAAGTAAAATTCAAGTTAACATGTTTTGAACAGGTAGTTGTTAAATACAATTAATTTTTTGAAATAGGAAAATGTTACCTACCATCTAGCTCCTTCTCAATGAAATCCATTCTGTGTATGACTTCATCTTGCAGAGATTCCACGTGAGCTAAAAGATTAAGCTGCCACTGCAGCTGCGAGTTCACAACTCCTTCTTTGTCTTTTTCCAGCAATTTCATTTCAATAGCTTCCTCTGGAGAGACTTTCTTAGAGACAGACTCTCTTACCTAGCAGAAATACATACATTAATATTTATTACAGTGAAACAGAATTGGTAAGCCAGACTGACTGGGTCCTTACAGTTACCCAAGCTAATTGCTCAACTAATCTTAGGCTAGTGGAAGATGGAAACACACAGAGATGAGATCATACACAAATATTAAGGCAGTCTGAGCAAGAGGATCTAAATACAGACACGCTTTTCTAGGTATTTTGCTAAGACCTATTCTTTGCACTTCACAAGCATCTGATTTTCAAAAGATAACATATATACACGTAGCTAGCTCCCTGCCAACTTCCAGCTGGAAGATACTGCATTTAATCTGTGCATCCTAGGGAACATTAAAGCCATTTTTAACATGGCAGTGATCAACTAAAGAGCAAATTATTTTGCAGTGAGAAGGGATTTTTCCTGAAGGAATCTAATCTCAATTCTACTAAAACTTTCATCAAAGCATCTGGTAAAAAAACATTACCACCACTTATAAAATTTGACTACACTGTCAGCAGTGTTGATTCTACTCCCCTAACTTTTTTCATCATTCTGCTGAAATATGACAGGATTTAGAAAAAGGCTCCTAAAAGACTGAAGAACTGAAATATATGCCTTTCTGGGAAACAAAGCAATCTCAATTGATTTGATAGAGAAGTTGAAAAGAACATAAGTTACAGCTTACATATGCATGAAATAAGAGCTAAACAACCTTTTAACCTAGAAAAGGGAGGTCAGTATTTCCCAGAGGCTTTCTAACATTTGTCAGGCCGTATTTCATATGAGTTGGCACTAACCGATCAAAGCAAAATTTTTGCACTGAGGTGTAGAAAGGTAGGCCTCCGATAGAGCTGAAAACAAGAACCAAGACTTGAAAAGATAAAACTAGAGTGCTCCAGTAGGAAGAAGATACAGGACTATTCAATGGTGATCATTCTTAAAAATCAGTTCAGGCTACTTTTTTTTTTTTCCGCCATGAAATGCTGCCTGAAGAACCTGGAATCAATTTATTTAATGTAACTATTAAAAGAAACATGGGAACAAGATGGAAATAACTAAAAGCTGGAACACCAGCCTATTTGGTAGCATCATACATGCTTGCCCTGTTCTCTCTCTATCCCCTTGCTAGTGTTTATTTTTACATTTAACACACACAAAGTAAGCAGCAATAAACTGCCAGTGGACCATAATGCATGTTTCACAGACTGTGCAGATGATCTAAGGTCCAGAAGACCTCTTCAACCTAGATTTTTTTTTTATTTTTAATTATTTGAAATGGAGGAGTTGATCGCGTCTATCATTTTAATTCATATTGGCAACTTAAATTTAACAGCATAGGAAAAAACTAACCACAAATAAACTAAATACTATTAAAAAGGGTTGAGTTTTGCACTTTGCCAGGCAAACACATCCTCTATGCAGAGATGGTTATTTTAATACAAATACCTTAGAGTAATTGTGTTTGGATTCATTTTCCATCTTGCATATTTCTCGGTCCAGATTCCAGCCAAATCTCTCTGACAGGGCATCATCCCCATTTTCCCTTATTCTATTTACTCCATCATCCATGGCTGAACCTCTCGTTTCCACAACCAATCTCTGCTCTATCGCAGGGTAGTAGGCCCGAGGCTTCTGGTAACAGTGTTCACTCGTAATGTAAGATTCCTCCACAGAAGGAATGGTTGAGGGTTTCTCAACTGTCCCATTCCAAGTTCTATAACTTGCCATCTCCTCTTTGCAACAGTTTTCCTCAATGTGAATGATGTGTTTTGTATGAATTTTTTCATCCACTGTAATGTGCTTCCATGGATGGCACCAAAGCTTTAGGTCAGGATGCTCTTTATTTCTGTCCAAACATAAAAAAGTAAAACACCCACCAAATTTAAACTTCAAAGTGACTGAGCAAACTACCCTATTAGGTAAAGAAATTAAGCAAGAATATTTGAACTACTACATGCTTTAGTCATCGTAATCAGTAAAAAATACCCAAATATTCTGAAATAATATAATTTCACTGACCTCAATTGTGTATCTTCCTACAATGTTCTGTTAGGTTCACTATTTTCATTTCTATAACATGGTATACAAGCCAAGTGTTGGCATTAAGAAAAAAATTGAAGAATAAGTTTCAAATAGATACATACAACTTTTCACCAATGTTGCCCTTGAAGAAGCATTTTGCTTCAATATTTGCAATTTATTAACAGCATAAACTCATTTTCACCGGGATATTTTTAGTAGTATTTTAAACAAGTCAAGTACACTGAAGCTAAACTAAGATTTTAACAATTTTAAACACCAGTAAAACAAAAAGACCCCCTCAAACCACTCAGTATCAAACTTTAGCCTGTAGTTCCCCAAAATAAACTTTAAAATTCAATCCATTGATCTTTTGTAACCCTCTAATAACAACAACTGGGGACTTGGGGGGTGGTGGTGTAGAACTTCTTTAGTATTTCCTTTAGAAGTTTAACTTTCCTTTAAATCCCAAGATGCTGAGCAAACTCTACTGCCTGGTACACCAACATGCCATAGTCCCCCTACCTGCTTCTTATAAAAATTCTTATTTTAATTGTTTTCAAATTGAGTAATACGTTATTTACTCCAGCAGCAGGGACAACTATAGGTATCGGATTCTTACACAGATATAACAAACAAAAAATTTAGAGTGAGCATTGTAACTGATACTGTTCTTCCACAGGTCTGTCAGGCATTAAAACAGCAGTAAAAAGGAGAGCAAAGCAGAATAAACCTGCTTATCTTCAAAGGGTAAGCAGCTTATCTGCTACAGGCTGCAAGAATGCAGCAGAAGCAAATCCTGACCCTAAAGCACCTGCATTCAGCTGCGCAGAAAGGAGGGGGTCTACCCCAAAACCCCACTCTGTGCTTCCTTGCAAACAAAGGCAGATGGAATTACTCCATTAAGCTGATCCAGCTTTTCCAGCTGTTAGCCAAACCACTCAACAAAACATGACCATTTTACTTCCAAAGTAACTGCTTTCTAATCCATTCTACAGTAGCTAAGGTTTCTTCAGTGTCTATCAGAGGAAACTACAGTTAGTACAACTGCCAAGGACTTGCTCAGACCGCTTTATACAAGCGCCTCTACCTCCAAGGACTCCATGTCTATGATACCAAGGACTCCATGTCTATGATACCCTTGGTGAGCAATCCTGAAGGCACATCTAGAAAAGCAAAAGCCAAGTGTTCATTTACCAAAGCTTTCTATTCCAGCTCCACTGATATTCTACGCCTAAAGGCACTATTTTGCTCAGCAAAGAGCAAGGGATAACTTTACAGAAGACAGAAAATTGAAAGATGATGCACCAGCTATATAAGGATGAAAATTCAAACGCTTAACACTTGAGCAACCTTTTAACTATTGCCTTCTGAAGGCTGGCTCTCCCTCCCATTGCACCGTCAACATCACCTCTGATCCTTTGCCACCTCCTTGAAATACTGAGCAACACTCTCCTAATAATTTCAGGCAGCTGTGAAATCATCTCCTCTCCCCTAGATGGTAGATCTGCATCAACAACATAATCATTCTTCTAATTCAGCAACTTTTAAAATCCTTTCTGATTTATGTAATGATAAACAGGGCCTATAGCTTTTAACAAGATGGTCCTAACAGGACCACACTTCATCTTTAATTAAACCTGGTCATCACACCAACTTCAGGATGGGAGAGAAAAGGAACAAAGTCTGCAACAAGCATCACACACTTGCCCAGTGCTCCATACCTTAGTGCTATGCAAATCTCAATTTACTCTACAACTGGAAAGTCACAAACTAAAGTCTTGCTATTTAAGAAAAAGCCTAAGGAGTAGTCTTACAATATTTATGTTCTACCCTCTCCAAAGACGAAAGGTTACTTACAAATCTGACTAAAAGATACCATAATAGAAAAGCAAAACCTTATGTTAAAATTGCTACTCTTGTGCTTTAAGCATTATTCCATTGTTTAAGCATTTCAGGTACTGCCAGTGGCCCTACTGCATCACCACAGATTACATTTAAGGGAAAAAAGTTCTAAAGAACACTGGAAACACTAAAAGCTTTGCTTTCCAAATAGCTGCTGCTGTGCAATTTATCAACTAATGAATTATAAATATGGAATTCAATCAATTTAAAACTGCTGGATTTGAGTTAGAAAAAGATTTTTTCAGTCATCAGAACCCAAGGATGACTTTAAACAGGAAAGGATGCAGAAAACTTGATTTCTACAGTGATTACAGAATATGTTATTTTTTCATATATATCTGTAATAATCTTTGCATAGAAGTGAATTGCTACAGGTTGCTGAAGGTGCAACTGCTCTCCCACTACAACAGAGCAGCACATTATGCCGAACAAAAAGATTTGATTTCTGCTGGAAAAAGCTATGATTTAGAATTACTGGAATGGAGAAGGCAAGTGTTATAAGAATGCTGCCATCGGTTATACACCTATCCTCTTCTTGCTACTTAAATCCATTTAGGTGCTTTAGGAGAAGCTGCTGTTACTAGTTTTCTCCCTCTTTACTTCATACCTTCCCAACCCTTCTATACACAGTCAATTTACACTCCTCAACACACTTAAGTAGTTTTTAAACAGCCAAGTTCTTTTCCAAGATCACGTTAGCAATTCAAACTATGTCGTTATATATCCACAAAGAAGATAAAAAATCAGTCTGAATTTCTGGTTATTTTTCTACTATTTGAAATCTAATTCACGTTGAGAACATGCCAACTGATACTTATATACTGCTTACTGTAATATGCTCATCTTCAGCTGCAGTCCATGCAGTACTTCTATCACTCTCTGTACATCGCCAAGAAGTTGGTGAGTGGCTACTATCTTCTTGGCATTCTGGTGGGAATAATTTTCTTCCAAAAATGCTAAGCCATGCATGTGACCATTACTTAACCACTCCTTCTCATACCAGTACTTTAAGCTGGACCTCTGACCTAAAGCAACAGTAATGAGTGTGTTAAAATGAAGCATTAACTATGGCATGTTAACATTACTGGTAGTAATTCTGATTATCTCAAAGTCTTGCAACAGATTATTTTTCTTATCAACAGTACCAATAAAGATCCTATAATAGCAGACAAAACCCTGAAGATACCAAGAACTTGTGAAGTGGGAAGTGAGATGATAACCTCAGTCAAAAACCTCTGCCCCACTATAAAAGCATTCAGACCCCAAATTCCATCAAAGGACATCCACGACAGGTAATTGCAGCTAATGCACAGAGAAAACTGTATTTTTAGCAGGGTATCACACTGTCTAGTAGCCATGATTATAACTAAAGCTATAGTTTGAATACCGCTCTCTGCAGACAGAAAAACGCAGCAAGAGGCAGTGAACTTCCCTTCTCCAATGGTCTTGTTTTTAAGCATCCTACATGTATTAGTACATTCACTCAAAAGTAAATTTTAAAGGAATCAATGATGAGGTTCTGATGGAGAACTTGCCTACATCAGGGTATTAATAATGCTAATTCTAGCTTAAGAGGTTGGAATATCAACAACAGCTGAAATGAAATTATGTTAAATGTGATAAATGCATCAGTAAGAGTAACTTAAGAAGCCAAGCAAAATGGTATTAGCAGGAAAGAGTAGAACTTGAGATGCTTGCTAAATTGCAAAACCACAAACAAAAAAATCCAAGCCAAAAACCCAACAAAAGCGCACACACACCCTTGTAAAGTGTATTGTTACAACAGATGTTCTCAGAAAACAGCTCAGCACCCTGAGAAACACCACATCACAGAAACACACCTGGGCGGGAGTGTTGATCTGCTCGAGGGTAGGAAGGCTCTGCAGAGGGACCTGGACAGGCTGGATCGATGGGCCGAGGCCAACTGTATGAGGTTCAACAAGGACAAGTGCCGGGTCCTGCACTTCGGCCACAACAACCCCATGCAGCGCTACAGGCTGGGGGAAGAGTGGCTGGAAAGCTGCCCAGCAGAGAAGGACCTGGGGGTGTTGGTCGACAGCCGGCTGAACATGAGCCGGCAGTGTGCCCAGGCGGCCAAGAAGGCAATGGCATCCTGGCCTGTATCGGAAACAGTGTGGCCAGCAGGAGTAGGGAAGTGATCGTGCCCCTGTACTCGGCACTGGTGAGGCCGCACCTCGAATACTGTGTTCAGTTTTGGGCCCCTCACTACAAGAAGGACGTTGAGGGGCTGGAGCGTGTCCAGAGAAGGGCAACGAAGCTGGTGAGGGGTCTGGAGAACAAGTCTTATGAGGAGCAGCTGAGGGAACTGGGGTTGTTTAGCCTGCAGAAAAGGAGGCTGAGGGGAGACCTCATCACTCCCTACAACCACCTGCAAGGAGGTTGTAGCGAGGGGGATGTCGGTCTCTTCTCCCAAGTAACAAGCAACAGGACGAGAGGAAA